AAAACACAGCCAGGTGGTAGCAGAACCTACTCAGGAGAGAAAAATCAGCTGGATTATGCCACTGCACAGCATGTGAGCGTATCCACTAGTTTCAGGGCAGGGCATCACAGGCCACAGAGGCAGAACTAACCTAAGCCAGCACCTCCCAGCTCTACTCCTAAGTTCATCCTTCACATGTCTCAGTGAGAGAAGCAGGCATAATTCTGCATCTGATAAAGCTGTTTAAGCAGGGCAAAACTCTTATCTAACTCTCACTCGAGCAACATGAAGTTTAATCTCAGATTTGTCTTGAAATACTCCACTGAGGATTGCAACACATCAAAAGAGAAGATAAAAAAAGCCATCTGAACTAAAGAAACCCTTGCTGACTAGGCAGTACCATTCATCTCACCCAGACGGGGAAGTGACCTGGAATTGTGTGTTAACACAATCCAGAATGAAAAAGGATTTGCACATGGGGAAGCTCCTCGGCGGCCGTTGTGATTGCACTCAAGGTACAGACAAGGAACAGCTGGCAGAGAGCAGCTGGCAGGGAAGGTTACAGTCGGAAGAGCCCCTCCAGCACAGCACACAGAGGCAACAGAGCATTCTTTTTGCAAGGCACGCGAAAGGCTCCACACAGTCTGTCCACATCCACACTGCAAGCACCAGAGAGCCTGCCATGTCCGGATATCCCGTCCAGTTCGGCCACTGATCCCATTGTGTGATTTCAGGGCAGTAGCTTCTCCACTCTGTCCGTGGAAAATGGACAAGAGGCCACGCCTGATGAAAGGGAGGGAAAAAGCCACCTGCCAAGGTGAGCATGGCCTGCTTGGCTTGAGGGACAGAGGGGACATCACGGAAGAGCAGAGTCAAGTTGTAGCAGATGCTTTGGACTGGAGGCAGGTCACAAACAGTGAGTTCACAGGGGACATCTTCCACCAGCTTAACCAAGTCGCCCCCAGAATAAACCCTGGGTGATCTTTCAGCATCACACAAAATTGATGCAGCAGAAGCAAGATCACAGTCTGAACCTCAAGGGAAGCCTTTCTGTTGCCATGCAGAGATTGTTCTGTCTCTTCCTGAAGAACCTCTAAGTCACTAATCACCACTGAACCCCTTTGGTGGGACTCCTGACAGTCAAAAGCCCACTGGCCCCAAGCAAAGTCACTCCTCAGAGGAGGTCCACCCCAATCAAAAGTGTCATATAAACAAACAGCGCTTGGGATTTGTGGTTGTATGGAGCTTGTAAGGTGGACGAAAAGATCCAGCTATGCCTTTAATGAATTGCAACATTTTAAATAAAACCATCCTAAAGGTATTATTGTATGTCATTTACTTCAACAAATAACAGACAACAACTAACAACATTTTTGCCTAAGTAATTTCAGCAGCCCCAGGCTCTTAAAAAAAACCCTGAGCAATCTGTAAAAACAATTAGGGTGCAATAACATTAACCACCTCAGAGGATGACAAGCCATTATATTGTAGGCAAATTAGCCATGTGAGCTATTAGTGACTGTAATGACAATCTCATTCCTATTCCAACCACTTTGTAGTTCAAGCAGTTTACCATCTGACTGACAGACTATTCAGCATTTGTCAGACAGGAGATGTTTCCACAGCGGAGAGTTTGACTACCCTTGGCCACTCCTGAGTTGAAATTTAAAGGATGCCACTAGAGATAGATGCCTGGTAGGCTGTGCTCACAATGGCAAATGCCCCGAATTTGAGGACTTTAAAGGAACCTACCTTCAGCTGAGGAAAGGACCAATAGCTCTTTTAATCAACTTTTAATGCAACTTCAGATGCATCTTCAGGCTTTTCAACACATGTCCTTCCATCGAAGAACGCAGGCAGCTCTCGTGCTGACACCCACTGCACTGCTGGCAGCACGACTCAGTGCACTTGTAGAATCACAGAATGGTTTGGGGTATAAGGGACCTTAACAATCATCTCATTCCCTTAACAATCATCAAGCAACCCCACAGCCATGGGCAGGGGCAGCTTCCACTGAACCAGGTTGCTCAGGGCCCCATCCAACATGCCAGGACCTCTCACAAAAGCCACGCATGCAGAGTCCAGGCTGAGAGCATGCTTTAAACACAGTGTCACACACAAAGGCTTAATCCTGCTCATTCTGCTACTCCCACAAACTATCCTTCGTCACAGCTGCAGCAAGACACCACACACTTCAAAAGAGCAATCCATGGCTATTTACACAGGTATTTTTATTTGAAAACCAGCTCTGGGAATTCTTATTCGAACACAAAACCCTCATCGAATTATTCCACAAGGACCAGGACAGTCTATGTTCTTGCATTAACAAGAGTTTACACAGATCTGATCTTTACATAAGGTTTCTGGCTGTTCAGAGAGGAGGAAGGGGCAGTGAAGACTGAGGAGCTACTGGCACTTGGTTGCCAGAATTCAACTCAAACTACTCCAAATTACCCAGATGCTTTCATTGACCTTGCTAAGTCACTTAGTGATGATGTCTTTGATCCAGGTACAGAAGGCAAAGGGGTAGTAGCCCTTCTGAGGTTTGAAAAATATTATTTGATCAAGTTAATTACCCAGCATCTACTTCAACAATACTTATCTACTTCAACAGTAGGAGTCCACAAAGGAGCAGAAACCCATCAGGTGTTGGCAGGCCCAGCAAGGACCTGGCTATTCAAACACCTGTACAATACCACAAATGCCACCACATTACACAAAGCAGTAATGTGAAAGTTTGCATATAGATTTTTAGCACAGACTAATTCAAAATTTATGCTTCAAAAACTGAGTAAAACTAAAATTGTTTGGTAACTAGAATCTGGAAGGAGACTAGGGAGAATGGCAATTGACACTCTTCTTAAATAATATATTAACAATACATTAAAGCCCACTTAGTATTAGACTATTATGGAAACACACATGACTTGAAAGTCCACACGCAGGTTTTCTGTGAAGCTCTGTCCTTCCTTTCCTATTCAGAGGCTCACATTCACAGGCAGTTTCCAGCAGAAAGTGAAATTTGGAGGTTTTACAGCAAGCCTGCTTAGAGACAGCAGGACCAGAGCAAAGACTGAGACAGTGTTTCTGTTAATCACCTCAAATATACAGCAGCCTGCCTGACATGGACTTCAATTTCAAAACATTCTATCATGATAAGAAGCAAATTTATGCAGCAAAAAGAGAGCTCTATGTCACAACTATTTGAATCATATAGTATACTATACTCACTACGTATCTGCAGTGTACAATTTCTCTTAAAAACTTGATTTTTTGAAAGAGACTGATTTAAAGCTCATTGTATTTAGCACTGCACCAACTCATCAACAGACACGGATAAGAAACAATAGGTCCTATTACTGCATGAGACTCTCTTCAGTAGCATCTCTGAGATTATCACTATGCCTGGAGAGCGGAGAAACATATGGGCAAGTGGAATAGCTGATGAACCACACAGAGTTTTTGTTACTAAACCACGTGGTGGAAATGGTCTAAAACTGCTTTGTAAACTGAAGCTGCAGCAGCACTACGAATCTTCAAACAATATTTGGTTTACAAACATGAAAAATAATAGACCAAACTCCTTCCTATATCATCTATCAGGGTAATTTTTTTTAAAATCTGGATTCTTCTACCCCCTAAATGGGGATCTGTAGCACAACAGGATTAATTAGTATGCAAGAAGATCAAGCTAGTTTCTAGTGTTAGTTAGATGTTCTAGGAAAAGGGTCATGCATCCGTATCTTATTGCTAGTTCTGTATTAAAGACAGGACTTCAACCAGGCCTACCCAGTGAGATAATATTAACACATCCTTGCTTATCACCTATCATTGTGTATGTCTCCCGCAGGCTTGGAAGAACTGTAAAGTTTCTGTTATCCCAGCAGGCAAGACATTAAGCAATCACATGTCAGTTCCCGTTCATGGCTAATGCAAATACATTCAAAAAAATACTGAAGAACATAAAACTGTACACTACTTAAAAACAAAGGAAAAAAATAAAAAGGGGCAATAAGGCCCTTGGAATTTGGGTCTGATTCATTCTAGCTTTTACTAAAGAGGGTTGGGAGGGGGTTTTGGGGGGGGTTGTTTGTTTTCCAGTTTACCACTTACTCTGATCTTTAATTTTCTACTCGGAGGACAGGGAGAAACCCCAGCTTCCCTCCGGGAAAAGGAGGGAAATCTGCCTCTCTTCCACTTGTCTGCATTTTACTCAGACACATGTGAAATTTTTACGAGGATGAGAATCCCCACTGCACACGCTTTTAAGGCAGGGCCACTCAAAAAAATCCTCCCCGCTGCAGAGACCCGGTTCTCCACCGCTATCAGCGGCACCCTGACTGCAACATTCCTCCTCTCCGGTGCAGCTGGGTAAGGTGAAATGGGCTCCAAGGATTATCGCCATTTCCCAGCCACGTCAGAAGAAAAGAGAAAAAAAGGTGCCTTTTCACGTGGTTTCTATAATAAACCGCAGAGTCAAGGACCAGCGCGGTGCTTCTCAAGTGCTCCTCGGAGCGGGGATGCTGACACGAAATGCACATCCACGCAGACCTTCCCTTACGCATCCCAAGGAAGCTCCACAAGCCGAGCTTTCCCTGGCAGCAACCTGGCAGTGCCCATCTCTGAGGGAAGCCGGGCTCCCAGCCCCGGGCTTTGTTAGCAGTCACAGGGGCTGCCGGTGCATCTGCTGTCCGGGAAGCGAGAAGCATCCTATTGTGCGGGCAACGCCGCAAGCCTCGGAAATCTCAGCCCCCTTGGAAAGGCATCCCTGCGAGAATAAGCCTCCATCCCCCGCGCCGAGCCCCTTCTCGTCCCCGCAGCAAACGGAGCCACCCAAAAAAAAGTTTTGCTGGGCAAGAGGGGCGGGCAGGGCTGGGAAAAAAAACAAAGGGTCGGGGAGGAAAGAATAAAGTTTGGGGTTCGGCGGGGCGGGGAGGGCGCCCGGGAGAGCTCCGGCAGCTCCCCGCCTGCCCGCGGCTCCGCGCCCGTCCCCACTGCCCTTGGGCCGCGCACGGCGGTACCTGAACAGGGCGACCGCAGTCTGGTTCCTCCTCCACGCCTTGCCCTGCTGCAGCAGCACCCCCTGCACGATCTCCTTCTCGTCGGGCAGCCGGTACACGGGGAAGACGTAGAGCCAGCAGAGGACGAAGACGCCCAGGGCGCTGGCGCCCACGGGCAGGCGGGTGCGCGGCCACTTCCACGGCAGCCCCGCCATCCTCATCCTCCTCCCGCAGCACCGCCGCGGCTCCGGGCCGCGCTCCGGCATCAGGCCCGCGCCATGCGGCGCCCGCGGGCTCAGCCCGGCTCAGCTCAGCCCGGCTCAGCTCAGCCCGGCTCAGCTCAGCCCCGCCGCCGCCCGCGCCCCGAGCCCGGCGGGCCGCCCGCCGCCATCGCCGCCCAGCCGGCCGGGGGGGTCGGGGCTGCTGCCGGCGCTGCTGCCGCTGCGCCGCGGCTCGCTCCTGTCTCGGCGGTGGCGGCTGCCGCCCGTCCTCACAGTCATTTGGTCCCTCGCGTTCCCCGCCAGACGATGCTCCGCCGCTCCCCGCCCTCCCTCCGCCTCCCGCCGAGCTCCTCGCTCGCTCCCTCGCTAAGGACGGACCCGGTAAATTTCCACCCCGCCCCGGCCCGGGGGGGTGCCCCGGCCCCTCCGCCCGCCCCCCAGACGCGGAGGGGGGAGGGAGAGAGGGAGGGGAGCGGCACCGGCAACCCGAGTGCTGCGGGGATCTGCTCCGGCGCCGCGGCCGCTCCCGCTCGACCCGCGGGCACCGGCCGAGCGGAGCGGAGGGAGGGGACGAGGGGTGAAAGAGAGAGGGAGGTCCCACTCCGGGGCAGCGCCGCCGGCACACACCGAGCCTCTCTCTCTCCCGGCGCCGGTCTTTTTCCCCCAGCACCGGCCGCGCCGATCACCAGCGCGCCCTGGCGGGCACCGACCCCCGCCCGGCCTCCTGCATCCCACCCTGCCTTCCACTCGTGACTCCCCGCGGAGCCCCCCGAGTGCTCCGTGTCTGAGGGTCCCCCGGGCTCAAGCCAAGGAGCCCCGGAGCCGGGATCACCGTGCTAGTCAAAGTGCATTCTGCACAAAGTACGTCCCCTGCGAAGTACGCGCAAAAATGTTGGATTAAGATTTTTTTTTTTTTTTTTGGAGAACGTAGCAAACTCGGGGTGGGGAGAGGTGTGTTCAGCAAACCCAAAAGCAGAGCGTACCCCAGCCAGCAGCGCCGTTCCCAAAGCAGCAGCTTTGTATCAGCATGTGTGCAGCATCACTGGCCGGCCGAAGGAGATCATTGTCTCACTCTGCACTGCTGCGGCCTCACCTCCAGTCCTGTGTGCAGTTTGGGCAACACAATATAAGACAGATATAAAGCTATTGGAGAGTGTCCAAAGGAGGACTATGGAGATGGTGAAGGGTCTAGAGGGGAAGCCATACGAGGAGTGGCTGAGGTCACTTGGCTTGTTCAGCCTGGAGAAGAGGAGACTGAGGAGAGACCTCACAGCAGTCTACAGCCTCCTCTTCAGGAGAAGTGGAGGAGCAGGCTCTGGTCTCTGCTTTCTGGTGACCAGGGACAGGACCTGAGGGAACGACATAAAGCTGTATCAGGGAAGGTTTACTTTGGATATAAGGAAAAGGGTCTTCACCCAGCAGGAGTTGTGCGCTGGAACAGGCTCCTCAGGAAAGCAGTTGCAGCACCAAGCCTGACAGAGTTCAAAAAGCATTTGAACAACTCTCTCAGGCATGTGGTGTGATTCTTGGGGTGTCCCATGCAGAACCAGGAGCTGAATTTTGATGATCCTTGTGGGTCCCTTCCAATTCAGGATATTCTATGGTTCTGTGTGCCCACACAGAACTGTGTGCTTGGGTCTTTGAAGAAAACACATTGGGGTTTATACCCCCAGGTGGGACATGGGCAGTTGGTGGGGTGTCCCAGCCCTCTGGGGTTATGGCTGAAGTGCCCAGAGCTTGGAAGAGTTGGTAGAGAAGTCGCCCAAAAGCCAAGGAGCAGCAGCATGAGCCTTGCATACCTACAGCAATGCCCAGCTCAGGCTTTCCATTGGGAACCCACCATTTGCCTGCCAGTGACATGAGAGTGACACATGAGTGATCTTCAGCCCTCCTAAATCAGCAGAATGTGATCATTTCATGCCAACAGAGTGACTCCAGCAGTAGAAAGCACCTCTCTGTGGTAATCAGGTAGGTTCAAACATGGTAGACACGTTCAGCTCCTCTCAGTGAGAATCTCAGAGGCAGTCCCCAATTTCAGAGCTCTGTCTCTACTTCCTGGCATAAAAGGCAGATTCAGCCCTGGCTGGTACCATCAGTGTGTGTTCAGCATCTCCAGACACCTTTCAGACCCACTGAGAAATGCTGCAGACTCCCACATAACCCTAGAAAGAGTTTTATGTGAGTTAGTAGCCAGCTCCTTTCTAGACTTTTCAGCACATGGAGACTTGGCTACTTCAGGCACTTTCAGCGTTGAGTGGTAACCAAGGGATGGGTTTGAATGCTCAAAACTTGGGAGGCTTGAGGTAGCAAGGACATGTTGACAGCCTTGAAAGACAAGGATTAGCCTGACTCAAAGCATGTCAGCACAGAACATCTTGCAGAGTTATGTTGATCATGATGGGTGATGGGGGGGAAAGTAAAACTGAATTCATCTGCTGAAATTATCTGGAGCACAGTGATGAATGGTTGCTGTTAGTCACCTAGCAAAGGGTGGCAAAAGAACAATCCATGGGGCAAGATTCTAACCAAAGCAATTAGAGATTTGGTCAAACAAATTCTGAGCTTGAAAACAGGCAACCCCAAATTCTACAGCTCTTTCTGCAAATGTCTTGACCTTACCCTGGATTCATGATTAAAGGAAGCTTTGAAAAAAAATTGGGTCAAGGAAGGAAAGCAAGGAGGAAGTTCGACACAGTTCGTTTAGCATCTCCTGGCCATAAGGCAGCAATAAAATAATCATAAATACCAGCTGGGTGTTTAAACAGCATTTACAGCTAGAGATCCCAACAGATACTACTTAGTTCTCAGTAAAAAAACCAACTTGGAAATCTCAGTGCACTTTCAGTGCTTGAGAGAAGGAAAAACATTCTCTTTCATAGTGTGTTGCCATGTAGAAATATACACTGACAAACAGTACATTAACATCATGATACCTAATTAACACAAAAATGCCAGAAACACGTACTTGCACAAAAAATACTCTTTTCATTCATATCTGATATGCTAGAGCTGTCTAGAGCATTATAGCTGTTTTCTCTGGACAAAAATGGGAAAAGAAACTGAGGAAGGCATTTTGGTTAACGTCTGGAAAAAAATTATTTAGAGCAGGATAAGTATTTTCATTTTGGTGAAGAAACTATTTACCAACAGCAAAACAAGCCAAAACCTGTTCAGTCACCTCTATTAAAAATGAACCATTAAACCTCTGGAGACTAATTCAAAACATAGTTAGCTAGACTCATAATAAGTAAAAAAAAAAATAAAATAGGGTTTGAAATGTACAAAACTGTATCCCAGATTAAATCCTGACTCTTGGCTCACTTTAATTGAGAAGACAAACAAACCAGAGGCTCAGTGTTGCTTGGGAAACCAGAAAGTGGAAAAGAACAAGAGAAAGTACGAGTGACTTATTCTTTCACCGTCCAAACTGCTTGCAATGAACCGAGTTAAAATACCACCAATACACACAAGATTTTTGGGATGTGTTTTATTTGTGAGTTATTCCTAAGCCTTTCCTCTCCTTTTTCCGAATCTATTTCAGCATGAAGCCCCGAGGCTCTTCACTGAATTCATAACAGTCCATGGTCTGTCTAGTGCCGTCACCGTGTCCTGCCCGCTGCCCGCAAGGAGCCGGGTTCATCGAGACAGAGATGAGGCAGAGCTTGTTATGTTGCTACTGGCTTGCCATGGGGAACTGAAAATGCCTGGCCTTGTTCTGCTCTTGCACAGGTGGGAATTACAGATACACCAGGACAAGCTCAAACCCAGGTTTTTTACTCTAGAGTCAGATCTGTTTCTAGGCAGCGTTATCAGTTGCTGTCCTTTCCCTCCGTCAGTGAGCCCTGAAGAGAAGTGCACCAGTGCTTTCTGCTGAGGATGACAGCTTCAGGTGGAGAATAAAGAGAAGGCAAGAATAAACTGCCAAAAATGAATCTTGTTTACAAGCAAATAGTCTGAAGTACCTCAGTGACACTTTGCAATCGTGGCAAAGATGTATAGACGTAGTGATCAACAACCCATGTCTTGAAATCAAAGCAGAAAATTGATATTCAGGCATGATCCTACTCTGCTGAACTCAACTCCACTTTAGTGATAATTGAGTGGCAAGATTTGACCTCACCTCCATTACTTTGGTTCCAGGTATCCTGAGCAGGGTCCATCCTCTTCTTCAAAAAAAAAAAAAGAAAAAAAGAAAAAAAGTTGTTCTTGAGAGGTGCCTTTAAAAATCAGCACAGAGGAAAGCAACAACTGAGAGCACGAAATAACATGTCTTCTAAACACTCAGAAGAAATAGTGTGACTATCCACTGATCAGAAAGAAAAGGCAGTGATGTGATTTTCCCGGTTTCCCCCCAAAAAAGCACCGGCAAAATCCCCTCTGTTCCCTGTTGCACTGCCCTCCTGCCCCTGCGGGTGGAGCTGACACTCTGCTCAGCCAACACCTTTCTCAAGCGTTAGAATCCAGGTTCTCTTTCCCTTGCTCCCAGGCCAAAACACACGCGAAGATCAGAGCTGCATCCTTCAAAAAAATCCAGGTTTTGCCTGCTTTCATTTGGAGAATCTTGTACTCCTACAGGCATCGCTCTCTTTCAGCTCTCTCACTTCCAAAATAACAGGGATTCCCCCTTCACTTCAGCATCCCACACACTTTCCTCTCTGCAGAATTTAGCAGAGGAGTTGCATTGGAATCAGCTTTCAGGCTGTGGCATCCTTTTAGTTGATGAAATTGTTATCATGCCATATACCTGGTAAATCCATTGTCTTCCAAATGTGCTCAGTTACCACCTGACTAAAATTCCTTGCTCTGCACCGTGCCATCAGCTCTGCAAGTATTTCATGCTTCATTAGCAGAGTCTATGTGAAGGTTGGATTTGTTTTCTAAGGGAGAAGGAAGCTGAAAAAGGTAGGTATTCTATGTCTAACCCCAGCTCTTATTCCCCACTGCCATAAATCCTCAGTGTTATGTTTTTTGACCCAATGTACAGGAGCAAAATGTTCCGATATCATCTCCTGTCTGAGCTATTATTGTAGGCCAGCTTTTGTGTG